TGCAAAGATGTATTTATTTCAATTTCTCATTTATCTCCTTTGATGGATGCATCCTCTAAACTATATATATATGAGATTACAGAGTTATATTCAAAACCATCTGTTGTTTTTTTCCCCTTATCAAAACTGGGATCTAGATGTCCCAATCCAAATTTTAATGAGACAGGAAAGTTTGTCTGAAGCTGGTATTGATTTTAGTCAGATTTTGGGAGCTCAGCATTTCCAGCCACCCCCTGGGCTTGGCACAGAGCTGCTCAGGTAAGAACTTGACTTTAGAATTTTTGAGCCTTAACATAGGTCTTTTTTGTTGAAATTATTTGTTTTAAAATGAGAAAAGGGAGGATTCATTATTAATTTAAGGTTGTTTTTTTTTCTATTAAGCTCTTTTCCCAACTTTATAATAATTCTTCTTGAAATGAGACAATTAGATCTGGCAAAGGGCATGAAAAACAAAAGAAACAAAACTCACATTTTATGAATATGTAGAAATTCTAACTAATGACAAAATATGAGGAAATAAAGAACAGTTTTGTGATTCTCCCCCACTCAAAAAAAAAACAAACCAAAAAAACCCCCAAAAAATAGAAAGAAAATTCTTTGTTTTCCTAAATCTTTTCCCAACAAAACTTCCTGACCTTACCTTTCTATGCTCTGCACTCTCTCTCCAATTTCCCTAAATGCAAATCATACACACGCAGACATGCACACACAAGTATATCCCTATAGATAGCTATTTTTATAAAGCAACATTCTACATACTCAAATATTTAGCAGATTTGAATTAAAGTGCTAACACTATGCCTAGGATCCATCTTCTAATTACTTGAACTTAGTGCCTATAATTCTTTTTTCCTTAATAAGCAACACAAGAAAGGCTGTGTATGTAAGTCAAGCAAGATTACTTAACACAGGATGGAAAGGATGGGCCTTTGAGCAATCTGCTCTAGTGGGAGGTGTCCCTGCCCATGGCAGGGAGTTGGAACTACATTATCTTTCCATCCAAAAAGGAAAGGAAAAGAAAGGAAAGGTCCTTTCCATCCAAAACCATTCTATGATTCTATGATTTTCTATTTAGTAGTAAAGTGATAAATTTAAATTTATATTGATAAATATAAAGAATAGGTCCCATTACACTCTCCCTAATTTGCAGTTCAGGAATATCAGGGTTATAAAAAATACAAAGCATAAGATTTCTTCCCATATAAAAAAGCTAAGGAATTTTTTTTTTGTCCCTGGCGATTCTAATACTATTTTCTAGTTTAGTTTATGCACCTGTTTTATATATTAAAATCAGTAATGACTGAAAGCCAATAAGGAACATAATAATCTATAATACGTTTTAAGTGGAGTTTAAACACCAATATCCCCATTTGCTGTCTAAAAGCTGCTCAACTGCAACAAAACGGCGGTTATAGAAGTTCTTAAGCATTGTAACTGTAGATATGTTTATGATGCAAAGTTAAGTCTATTCACAGTCCTGTCTCTGTACATGCTGTAACTGCCCTGTTGTCTGCAGCTAAAGATATGCAGAGGCATCCAGCTGTCACCTAAAGGAAAATGGGATCTGGGAGTCAGAACGTAATGCCTTAATCCCCCCGAGATCCAAATCCCAAGCACACCTTGTGCTTATGGAAGAGATTTACTCCAAAGTGCAGCAGCAGGCACTGGTTTCTTTAGGATGTGGCTGAATGAAAATGAAATAATTGGGATAACTTGTATACAGAGCCTAATAGTTAAATCACACAGTCAAGATCTAAATAGCTGGTAGATTCTTAATTTGGGAAAGAGAGATGAGTAAGTCACCTCCTTCCCAACCTTCTGAAATGTAAATAATCCCTCACTTTAAATCTCCTGCTTCCTGGAAGAATGGCCTAATTAACAACCTACAATCTTTCTATCACGAGTCATCGGGGGAAGCAGAATTCCAATACTTCTGGTCACTTGTGCTACTGTGAAAAAAATACTAATTGAGAAAGCCAAAGTAAGTCTGGCTCTGTAGCCTCTGGGTTAGCACACTCTCCTGGCAGGGTCCAGAGAAAACTGGGTTTTGCTGCCTACTCCCAGCATCATCATTAAATACAGAACACCCTAGGAAGGAGGAGCTGATGCCATCAGCAGGGAGAAGAAGCCAGGAGATTTCTCAGTATCAGGCTAAAGTAACACATTCTTATCACCTCTTAAGTTCTTTGCAGCTCAACAAACCAACCAGCCTCTTTCAGCTCGAGGTGGGTATTCCTCTTGGCTGACTGGGGACTCTGTCCCCAAGAAGGTCCCATCAGCTGGCCAGGCTCCAGGATGAAGGTCAGTGCCTTGCAGAGAGATGCTAAAGGAGATAGAACCTCCAGATCATTGTCAAGAGAGCAATAAAAACTGCCCAGTCCAGCAGGTGGGCAAACCTCCGCAGTCTGCTCTGAGCTCAGGGAGACCTGGGCAGTCACTGCTGCTCTTTGGCCTCTCTTGGCCACTTATTCCAAAAAAATTACTTTGGGTGTGTACTTTTTCACAGTTTTGAATATAATTTTTTATGTATTATATGCTTGTTAAAAGACAGTTTGTTGAGTTTTCCTATGAAGGCCTCTCACTAAGATCACTGGTCTGGAAATTTCAAGACGTATCAGCCTTAATGTGGATGAGGGAAGGAATTTAAGGTATGCTGGCAGAGGCAGCGGAGAGTGGAGCTTCAACCTTTGCAGAGAAAAGAGGCTTTCATGGCTACTTGCCTGCTTACTTGCGAAAGGGGACAGATTTTCATACATGCTAGGATACATATTTTCCTAAATTTAGGCAAACTCTTTGGATAATACTTAGATTTTGTCAAAAATAGGTGCTCAGGAATACTACAAAGGAATGGAAATGTATCTAACAATGGAACTGCCCCTTTTCATCTAGAGTTTCAAGACTGTTAATGATGAAATTTCAAAGAGCAGAAATTTATTTCTGAATTTTATAGTAAAAACCTGCAATTTTTTTTGTGGTTGAAACTATAAAAACTCTGCTTTGACCAAAATCAAACACTTGTAAGGATAGAATCTCTTCTGCCAATGTAAAACCGGGGTTACTGCACAATTCAACAGGACTGCAACTGAGGAAAGGTACCCTCAGATAAAAAAGCTATTTGTAGTTGTAACAAATGACTGAACAGTGAGAGAGCACGCAAGTAAATGAAGCACATATACCATAGAAAGGGGAATTCATATTGAAAGAAAGACTGCATCCCCTTTGAAGACAGAACAAAGTTATTAAATAGAAACATGAATTTATCAGGGTGGCATCTACTCAGTGGCTGTGGAACAATCAAATATTTATACCTGCAAACATTTCATTTGGAAATCATGTTTATATTATTCCTAAATTTTAAGTTGCATAATTACATTTTTATGAAGACAGTTATTCTTCATTAGCAGTCTGCCAATTTCCAGGATTTTCTCCCATTAATGCAAGAGCCACACACAGGTCTGTTGTGCATGTCGGGGGAGAGTGTGGGTGAGCCACTCTGGCAGGTTTTATATTAAGTGTGGGAGTTTATATGCATATTTTAAAATGTTTCATTCTAACTGTAGCATGTTCTCTATTGACGATAGGGACTGTAATGCCAAAACCTGAATGTGTTCTCAAAGGAAATGTCACTGGCTACCTTCATAACCTGACTTCTCCCCGTGTGCCGTGCTCACAGTCTTGCTTTTATGTGTGAATACAGGTTAAGATTATTTTCCAGTTTTTGCTTTAGACAGAAAGCTGTATTGAAAGGTATAACTTTGCTACACGAACAGTTTTGAAATGGTGCTTAAAATTAAAACCAGCACTGCATACAGTGAGTTTCTCTTACTGACTGCAGGTTCTGCAGGCGTGAGGGTGTCAGTCCCCACACCATAGGAGCGCTGCCCTTCAGCTTGGCCACAGCTGTGCCCTGACTCCCTATGGACTCTACTGATCCTGGACCATCAGGCTGACTCCCTGGCTTGTCCTCGCATCTGCCTCCTCACCAGAAAGAAACGTGCCTGTCAGTCTGGAAGCTGAGCTGCCCCCAGCCTGCCCTGCTCGGGTCCTGGCTGGTGAGGCCCCTGCCCTGCTGCCAGCCATACCATGCCTGGCCCCTTGTCCCTTTGGGCCTGCTTCCCGAGGAGGAGCTGGGGAAACGCAGTTACAGTGTCTGTCAGGCCAGGAACCCTCTATCCTATATATAACCCAGTGCCTCCCCACAGGAGCCACGCTCCTTGTGTCCAGCCCCTCCCTGCCTGAGGAACAGAAAACAGCAGCTGGCAGGTTAGCTCTATTGGCAGGGAGTCTTTTAAGGGAAGATATTTGAACGAGAGCAGAAAGAACTGGGTAGTATAGTTTGGAGTTGAAGAGATTTACCAGTGCCGCCTTAGAAGCTGGCTTGGCCTCCCACCGAGAAGAGGACAAAGCTTCCCTTTACCTCATCTACCCAATGCAATGCAACTGGAGGCCTATACAGAGCTGTGGAAAATCTTACATTACTGAGCATCTTCCTCCTTGCCTTTTCTGCACATCAGCAGTGAATGAACACACTGTACCCGGAGACCAGCCAGTTAACGTGCACTTTTTGAAGCATCTGGGTGAACAAACCGAGACACTGACAAGCCCCGCCGCCAGCTGCGGCTACGCTGTCACGAGCTACTTCAGCAATTTATTCTTTAATAGCTTCCAAATTCACAGCTCAGCATGTAGCCAGCCACATCGGAGTACCCTTACAACCACATATGCAGTACCCTGGTAACGATAAAAACAAACGCTTTTTAATCGCAGTTCCCCGAAGTGACCCGGCTCAAACCCCGCCGAGGGCCAGGCGGCCTTCGCCAGGCGCGGTGCGGGCCGCGGGAGGGGAGGAGGGCGGGAGAGAGCGAAGGGCTGCTGGCGGGGGCGGGCGGCCCGGCGCTGCCTGCCGAGCGCTGTCCCCGCACGGAGGCCACGTCGCCCCGTCCCGTCCCGTCCCGCCCGGCCGCCGCCTCAGCCACCGTTGGCTCAGCGG